AGGGCTCCAGAAGCATGGTATCAAACCCTTCGGGGCAGAGACTTGTCAATCCAGGGCCACACTCCAGTATAGTGAACCACTCCATCCAGGATTGTAGATTAATTTTTTCCATGAATCCTGGCCTTCATCACTTTATTTTTGGTTTCATCCAAGTTAAGATTGGGGGTTTTCCAAGATTTGGCTAGCATTTGCTTAGCAGCAGTGAGTATTTGCAACTGGAAGTGGAATTGGGTGTCAGTTATACCATCAGGTCTTTTATTAAATACGGCATAGGTCAGGTCCACAGGTAGGGTACAGCCCGATAGAGCACATAATATCTTATACAATTGTGCCCAAAAGGAACAAACTAATGAGGCATGTCCACCAGATATGAAATAAAGAACCCCTCTCAACGCAGCCCCAGAAACAGGTAGGGGAAAACCTGGGTACATATTTAGCAATTCAGGAAGACACTAGCGTGCCATCGGGGGATCACTTTAAAATTGGTTTCAAAAGTAATTTTTTTATATATATATATATATATATATATTTCTTACCTTGTAGATGTTTTTTTGGTGAAGATCTTTGTGCAGCTTGTTGTTCGGTCCTGAAATGCCACTTCTATCCGATTCTGAGTGCGATCTCGCATTCCACCCCACTCACAAAGTCGGATAGAAGAGTTTCAGGACAGAACAGCTGTTCCAGGGCAGATCAGTTCTCCTGCACATACGATTTGCGATGCCGATCTGCCCTGGAACGGCTGAGAAAGCGTTGGAATGTTTGACCTATAGGTGGTCACACATTCCACCGCCAAAAAACTGGGCGGGGTTACATTGAAATGTGTGACCACATCACTGATCACACATTCCAACCTAGACACAAACTTTGATAGAACAGCGGCCCTGTCTAATCATTTAATCAGATAAATAGATTATAATAGGCAACATTACAGTGTAATGTTCCCCATTTATAATCCACTTGTCTAGTTAAATGAAATAACAGCACACAGTGTACAGTTACACCCCTACCGAGGCCCTGGCGGTAGTTCCGCCCCTGGACAGGGAGCCGCAGCAGATGGATGAAAGAGCCACATGCGGCTCCAGAGCCGTGGGTTGCTGACCCCTGTCCTAGACTGTGATACAAATGTGAGGAAGAGTGAGAGGCGCTGTGATCTTTGATTGTAGACGTCACATGGTTCCAATATTGGTTTCTTTTGAGGGGCTTGATTGCTTTGGGAGTGGCCACACAGAGGGCAGCAGGGGGACCTGGAGAAGTTGATTAGAACAAAAAAAACGAAGCCACCACCAAATTAGGAAGAGTACAAAGGAGATTTGGGGGCACCTGAGAACTCTCAGGATGTATCCTGGATTTTAGAATCTCAGACCTTTAGACCCATAAATGGCTGCTGCACACTTGTGCACCCCTATTTTCCCAATTTGAGGCGGAGCACTCCATGATGCTCTCTGCTCCTCCCCTTACCCCACCCCAATATTAAACTCTCTGACTTTGGAAAGTTCTCAGGTATGCTCATCTAATATCCCAACAATAAAGGGATTATTCCTTTTTTAATTCCCTTTAGTCCCTTCTCACCATAACCTTCTGGGAATTACTTTCTCACATGGTCATGGTCCACAAGAACAGGGCAGTACACCGAACAATACAAACATTCTCCAGCACTTGACCCAGCTAGTCATACATATGGAGCTACACTTCCATGTGAACTACAACAAGTACGTCAAATGCACAATTTTAGGAGTAAGTGTTCTTGTGCAATGAGGGTCTGTGCCTACAACTTTTTTTTTTCTGATTGCGGCACTACGTATGCTTGAGATCCTATTAAAAAAGTGCTGAGGCTTCCCTGTCTACACTTCTCTTGGCCTGCTCTGTGTACGATGCATCCCCCTTCCCATCCCCCACACGGACCATGGGGGGTTGCGTTGCGGAGATCCACAGGCCGCAGGAAATTAAAGATGTAATGAAAACAAGGAGAAGTTATCCCAGCCTGTCATCCCAGGCTGCTTTCCCAGGATAAGGTTCTGTCAGTGCTCTCCGAACCTGGTCTGGGGTATCATCTGCAATATTACAATTGGATAAATATCACAGTTTAAATCTGGTCGCACTTCATCTTCAGATTGTGATTGCTCCGAGGAAGTTTAGTACCTTTAGTGGTAATGGCCGCTCTGTTCTGTAACTGAAGCCCCTAATTATTCTATGTACATACCAAACTTTACAGAAATCAGTATTGTCTGATGGGTAAGCACAAATCCTTTTATTCCCCCCATCCCTTCACAACAGGCACTGAGCAATGCATAGTGTGAGAGAAAAGGGAGGCGCACATTTACACCTTGTCTGGAAGTTTGAGGTTTTCATGGATCGTGCGGCAGCTACGCGCACTAAAGGCATTACATGGCATCAGAAGGTGCCTGCTATGTGGCTGGGGAGTCTGTTTACATTGTGGAATCCTGCATCAGGTCTACTTTATAGGCTTTTATCCCCACCCCCGCTCAAGCTTAGAGTAGGTGTAGCCAGTCACATCTGGGAAGGGTTTCTTTACATTGTGAAATCCTGCATCAGATCTACTTTAAATACTTTTTTCTCCGCTCCCACCTAACCTTAGAGTAGCTGTGGCCAGCCATATCTTGCTGGCCATGTCTACTTTATATTGTGGAGTTTTGTCTTGCATCAGGTCTACTTTAAATGCTTGTTTCTCCACCCCCGCTCAAGCTTAGAGTAGGTGTGGCCAGTCATATTATGGAAGAGTTATTTTACATTGTGGAATTCTGCATCAGGTCAACAGTATACGGCCAAAGGATTGTGGACACCTGACCATCACACCTATATGAGCATGTTGGATAGCCTATTGCAATCCCATGGACATTAAAATAGAGTTGGATCCCCTTTGTGTGTGAAAACAAAAGCTTCAATCTTCCACAAGCTTTTGTTCTGTGTTTGTGGAATTTTTGCCCATTCAGTCAAAAGGGCATTTGTGAGGTCAGGTACTAATGTTGGACATGAAGACCTGGCTTGCAAAGGGCATTACAACAGTAGGGTTGAGGTCAGGTCTCCACTTTGTGCACCGGGCACAGTCATACTGGAAAAGAAAAGGGCCTTCACCAAATTATTGTCACAAGGTTGAAAGAGCGCAATTGTTAAAATGTCTTTGTATGTTGTAACATTAAAGGAGAACTATGTGGTTCAGGCTTTTCCCCATAGTTCTCCTTAGGGTAACGGGAGGACATAAACTAGCGTCCTCCCGTCACCCTAGGCTCAGTATACCACGAGCTGTAGCGGAGCGGGGAGGGGGGAACCCAGCCCCTCCCCTGGCACGGCAGAGAGCCGTGGCAGGATCGAGAGGTGAGCGAACGCCGGTATGTGTTCGCTCACTTCCCAATCTACTGAGCCGACCTGTGACAGTGTCATTGTCACAGGTCGGCTAGAACTATGAGGTGAGTGAAAAGCACTCACCTCATAGTTCTCCTTTAACAGGACCCTTCACTGGAGACGACTGAACTCGATAATTTGGGGGATGTCCTATTTTTGACTATATAATGTATGCACTTGTTGTATTAATTGGTTCTTCAACAGATGACATATTTTATGATAAAAAATTTCTGTAGACATCCGAACACTGACATCCTTCTCCAACGTGGAACTGGAATTTGATGTCAGGCATGTCTTCCTTTGTGATGCAGAAAATCCATTAGTAATGGGGATTCGGTGGTTGACGCATTCAGTGAGGGTCCTTCAGAACACACCAGCGCTCCCCATCACCTGTTAAGCTCTGGGTGTGATGATAGTCACTGAGCTGACATTGGCGGCCTCTGCTAATCGCCATTCATCCTCCATGTCAAATGGAAAGCAGAGGCCGCAGGGGCCTCCTTTGTCTACCTGGCATTGCAGGCTCCCCCGTGCAAATGGTTTGATGGATGGCTTTTCCTGTGATATGGGTCATACAGGAGCCCTCTCCCCTACTGCAGACTTCTCCATGAACGTGCTTCTGCACAGGAATCTTGCAGCCTGCACTAGGTGATAAATGGACCACTGCGGTGCTGAAAAATACCCTCTGCAGCTTAGGAGCTCCAATTGTTTTTTTGGGGTCTGAAATATCAGCATGTTCTTTTTCTGACGCTGGATTATGGCAAGGTTACTAATTCAATGTAGTTCGGTGTTTTTCTGGAGATGGCTTTATGCACGGTTGGGGGAAAGGGGAGGTACAGTCATGCTGGAACAGAAAAGGGCCTTCACCAGACTGCTGCCACAAGGTTGGAAGAGCACAATTGTCTAAAATATCTTTGTAGCATTAACAGGCCCGTCACTGGAAACACCTGAACTCAATCATTTGGATGGGTGTCTACATGCTTTTGGCCATATAGTATATCAGTTGTATTACTGTCCACCTGTAGACAGATAGCATGATGGGTTTTGGCTGCTGTGTGCAGACAAATATACAATTAATCCAATGATTCCTGAAAATATTCTACCATTGCAGTATGTACCAGACTCACAATATGCTCAGGATATTACCCCATTCATCATTACCGATATGCTGACTGTACCTGCAGGTTATGCAGTGGTTGAGGCCCATACAACTGCATATTTTCCTGTATTCCTGTAAATGAATGGAAACCCTTGCTGAATGACATTTGATTTGCTAAAGAACTGGGTATCATAAACAAATGCAATTTTTAAATAAAATACATATTTTACCCTTTTCTCATCCAATCCGAAGCCTGTGTGTCAAGGTGACAACACAGCAGCACAATAAGGAGACAGGGGCAGAGCGTTGGCACCTTTTAATAGGAAGGTTCCTACACAAGGACCTTCAAGGCAGGCTCACTTATTATCATTCAAAGAAAAATACTTATTATTTGAAAATGTTAAAAATTAACGGGTTTAGGTATTTTTTAAGATTTTAAAATCTCAGCTTTGCTGTCCACACCAAACTTATGTACATGTTCCTGGGTGGAGGACATCAGCAGAAGACATCAAACTGATCTATGTTTCGTTGTCGTGTCTCCTAGGTGTGGTTCCAGAATCGGAGGGCAAAGTGGAGGAAAAGAGAGAGGTTCGGGCAAATGCAACAAGTACGGACTCACTTCTCTTCTGCCTATGAGCTGCCACTACTGACCCGAGCTGAAAACTATGCCCAGGTAATTCAGGTTTCTTTCTATTCTGTTGAGTTATGTACATTAAAACAACATCCAACTCTAAGCCACTGACCCAAACAGAGAGGCAGCTGGCAATTAACACCCAACTACCAAGCCAGACAGAGGGGTAACTTCCCGTATCGAGCTACTAAGCCAGATATAAAGGCATCATGGTACCGACTCGCATGTTGTTCCCAGCTTCTGACTTCTGAGCCAGGTATAAAGGCAGCACGTACTCAACGCTCATCATCGTAAAGAGGCAGTCTACAACTAACAGATATCCCATGAGCTACTTATCATGGCAGCATGAGCAAGATAAAGAGGCTGAACATAACCAACACATATCTACTGAGCCAGATATAAAGGTATCACATGTCTGACACTCAACTTCTCATCACGTACCCAACAACTCTCAACTCAGTGAGGTAAATAGGCAGCATGTAAGTAACACTTAACTTACAAAGCATATACTTCAATACAATGTACTCAATACCTATTTACTGAGCCATATAGAGAGGCAACATGCAACCAGCACCTATCAACAAAGCCACATAGACAGGCAGCATGTAGCTAGCACCTATGAGCCAAATAGACAGGCAGCTTCTAACCAAAGGCTAAGTACTAAGCCTAACTAACACCTATCTACTGAGCCTCATTGAGAGACTGTGCATAACTAACACCTATCCACTGAGCCAGATAGAGGAACCGCTGGTAACCAGCACCAGCCTGCAGAGCTAGATAGAGACAAAAACGTGTTGCCAGCTACTATCTACTGAGCCACATAGAGAGGCAGATTGTAACCAGCACCTATCTACTGAGCCATATAGAGTAGCAGTTGTAACTAATCTAATGAGCCAGATAGACAGCCAACATGTAGCTAGCACACATCTAATAAACCAGATAGACAGGCAGTTTTTAAATAGTGCCTATCTACTGAGCCACATAGAAAGACAGTATGAATATAGATGGAGGAGCAGATGTAAGCCAGTACCAATCTACTGAGCTTGATGTAAAAAATAAGTGTAATTAGCCCTTATCTGCTGAGCCACAATGAGATGAAGCTTGTAGTCAGCACCTATTTACTGAGCTACAAAGGGAGGCAGCATGTAGCTAATACCTATCCAGTGAGCCAGATAGACAGGCAGCATGTAACTAGCCCCTATCTACTGAGCCACACAGAGTGATAGCATGAAATGAACACCTATCCATCAAGCCAGACAGAGGGGCAGCTGGTAACCAGCACCAATCTACTGAGATATCTGCTGAGCCATGTGGAGGTGCATTTTGTAGCCAGCCCTGATCTGTTGAGCCACATAGGGAGGTAGCATGTAACCAGGACCTACATAGCCAGGCACAGAGACATCATGTTACCAGGATCTATCTGCTGATCCAGATAAAGAGGCAACATGGCAGTCAGTAGGAAACCAAAACCAATGAGCCAGTCAACTGCAACACAGGGGAGCTCATGCAAAGCATTAGAAGTCCTACTTGGCACAGGACATGTGATCTACACCAAAGCTTCAGTCATATGATTATAGGCGTACGTACTCAACGCTCATCATCGTAAAGAGGCAGTCTACAACTAACAGATATCCCATGAGCTACTTATCATGGCAGCATGAGCAAGATAAAGAGGCTGAACATAACCAACACATATCTACTGAGCCAGATATAAAGGTATCACATGTCTGACACTCAACTTCTCATCACGTACCCAACAACTCTCAACTCAGTGAGGTAAATAGGCAGCATGTAAGTAACACTTAACTTACAAAGCATATACTTCAATACAATGTACTCAATACCTATTTACTGAGCCATATAGAGAGGCAACATGCAACCAGCACCTATCAACAAAGCCACATAGACAGGCAGCATGTAGCTAGCACCTATGAGCCAAATAGACAGGCAGCTTCTAACCAAAGGCTAAGTACTAAGCCTAACTAACACCTATCTACTGAGCCTCATTGAGAGACTGTGCATAACTAACACCTATCCACTGAGCCAGATAGAGGAACCGCTGGTAACCAGCACCAGCCTGCAGAGCTAGATAGAGACAAAAACGTGTTGCCAGCTACTATCTACTGAGCCACATAGAGAGGCAGATTGTAACCAGCACCTATCTACTGAGCCATATAGAGTAGCAGTTGTAACTAATCTAATGAGCCAGATAGACAGCCAACATGTAGCTAGCACACATCTAATAAACCAGATAGACAGGCAGTTTTTAAATAGTGCCTATCTACTGAGCCACATAGAAAGACAGTATGAATATAGATGGAGGAGCAGATGTAAGCCAGTACCAATCTACTGAGCTTGATGTAAAAAATAAGTGTAATTAGCCCTTATCTGCTGAGCCACAATGAGATGAAGCTTGTAGTCAGCACCTATTTACTGAGCTACAAAGGGAGGCAGCATGTAGCTAATACCTATCCAGTGAGCCAGATAGACAGGCAGCATGTAACTAGCCCCTATCTACTGAGCCACACAGAGTGATAGCATGAAATGAACACCTATCCATCAAGCCAGACAGAGGGGCAGCTGGTAACCAGCACCAATCTACTGAGATATCTGCTGAGCCATGTGGAGGTGCATTTTGTAGCCAGCCCTGATCTGTTGAGCCACATAGGGAGGTAGCATGTAACCAGGACCTACATAGCCAGGCACAGAGACATCATGTTACCAGGATCTATCTGCTGATCCAGATAAAGAGGCAACATGGCAGTCAGTAGGAAACCAAAACCAATGAGCCAGTCAACTGCAACACAGGGGAGCTCATGCAAAGCATTAGAAGTCCTACTTGGCACAGGACATGTGATCTACACCAAAGCTTCAGTCATATGATTATAGGCGGATCTAAATATAAATATAATTTTAAAATAAAGAATGAGAAAGTTGTAAATAAATCACAGAGAACTGCGCGTGGCAGACAGTTTCATGAGTGCCGGAATTATCTTTGAAGCCATGGAACGTCTACTTTGATGTGGTAGGTGTGCTTTAAGAACGGCTGGCAAACATAGAGCAGTTGATGAGCCAGAATGACATTTCCCCCAACACTCCTGACATCCTGGCCATTTTCTCATTTCATCACCAGGCAGTAAGAAAGGAGTCGGGGGAGAAGAATGAGCTGTAACAGCAGGAGGAGAGGTCAGATGTTTGATGAGCTGGAGAGCAGCGGAGCTCAGAGCTCTGTTCTTCCAGCCACATCTGGAGCCTTGTCCTCCTGCATTCCTACACCGCGCACACTCCCCTCCACTCACTCCTCAGGGATGGGGGGGCCATCTGTGAAATATGAACCACAGCTATACTGGACAGGAGATGTCACTGAGTCCCCCACCACCAGACATGGGCACAGCTTGGAGCAATTGGAGGGATTTCACACATATTTTCCAGGAGTATCAAATACAGGACTATATAGAGGAGCCGTGATGATAGTTACATAGTGTTTGAGGTTGAATAAAGACATAAGTCCATCAAGTCCAACCTGTTGTGTGTGTGTGTGTGTGTGTGTGTGTGTGTGTATAGGTCCCTGAGTGTTCTCATTCTTAAGAGTACCTGTACCCTTGTACATTTCGGTCTCTCAGGAAGTCGTCCAAAAGCTTCTTGAATGATTCCAGATTAATTGCAGAAATTACTTACTATTACTTAAATGATCATTCTATCTATCTATCTATCTATCTATCTATCTATCTATCTATCTATCTATCTATCTATCTAGTTATCAATTTAAAGTGCTACCCAAACTGTTGATGCTATAGAAATCCCATATATTAATAATAATAAAAATTCATATTTATCTATTAATATCTATCTGTCTATGTATCTCTTATTCTATATCTAACTATTTGTAATGAGAGATCTGTCCCTCATCTATCTATCTATCTATCTATCTATCTATCTATCTATCTATCTATCTATCTATCTATCTATCTATCTATCTATCTATCTATCTATCCATCTATCTATCTAGTATTCTACACTCACTGGACACTTTATTAGGTACACCTTGCTAGTACTGAGTTGGACCCCCTTTTGTCTTCAGAACTGCTTTAATTCTTTGTGGCGTAGATTCAACAAGGTGATGGAAACATTCCTTAGAGAGTCTGGTCCATGATGACATGATATCATCACGCAGTTGCTGCTGATTTGTCGGTTGCACATCCATGATGCGAAGCTCCACCAGCCTGAACCGTTGATACAAGGCAGGATGGATCCATGATTTCATGTTGTTTACATCAAATTCTGACCCGACCATCTGAATGTCACAACAGAAATCGAGACTCATCAGACCAGGCAACTTTTTTCCAATCTTCTATTTTGGTGAGCCTGTGCAAACTGTAGCCTCTGTTTCCTGTTCTTTGCTGACAGGAGTGGCACTCGGTGTGGTCTTCTGTGGCTGTAGCCCATCTGCTTCAAGGTGGTGTGCCTTCAGAGATGATCTTCTATATACCTCGGATGTAATGAGGGGTTATTTGAGTTACTGTTGCCTTTCTATCAGCTTGAACCAGTCTGCCCATTCTCCACTGACCTCTGACATCAACAAGGTATTCTTGCCCAGAGAGCTGCCGCTCACTGGATATTTTCTCTTTTTCGGACCATTCTCTGTAAACCCGAGAGATGGTTGTGTATGAAAATCACAGCAGATCAGCAGCCGCTAAAATACTCAGACCAGCCCGTCTTGCCCCAACAACCATGCCACGTTCAAAATCACTTAAATCACCTTTCTTCCCCATTCTGATGCTCGGTTTGAACTTCAGCAAGTTGTCTTCACCACGTCTAGATGCCTAAATGCATTGAGTTACTGCCATGTGATTGGCTGATTAGATATTTGTAACAAGCAGTTGAAGAGATGTACCTAATGTAGCAGCCAGTGAGTGTATATCTATTAATCCGTAGTAAGGTATCTGCCTCTAATGTATCTTTCTTTCTTTCGTTCTTAAAATAATTCATATGTAATTTTTCACTGAATCCTACAATCACGCCCAGGTTTGTAGTTCCTTTCCGGAACTCCAAACAGTAAAGATCTCAACACCTCAATATTCAGTTCCACCCACATTGTCATTATGAGACGGCCTCACAATATGGAGAATCAATAAGCGGGTGAGCCAGCCTTCAGCCCCGAAGTGAAATGTAATTTTAAGGTAGACTGGCCCTTTAATGTCACTTCCTCGGCTCTGTCATGCTTTAAAATAACATTTTTGTTGTATCGTTTCACTAAAACCCAACAAAGCGCATTAAACGTTTAATGTGGTCATGTCCGCGAGGTGCATTGGGGTCATTCCAGGTCTTATCATAATAGAGCGTATTTCAGGGAAGTTCGAGGTTTCCAGTTACACTTATAATGTATTCTACCATCCAGACAAACATGTAAATTCCGGGGGCAATGAGTGGCGGGGACGCAGGAAAGAAAGGCGAACGCGGACTTAATAGCCTCTAGTTAATTTACATTGTCAGTCATTCGGATCATGTAAATATTAAATAAGAAATCCAGAGTACAAAGAGGAGATTGTTCTACAATGAGGAGGGGCTTAAATCATAAAATACAACCAGTTAAAGGGGAACTCCAGCCAAATTTTCTTTTTACTTTTGGATAGAGTAGAGGAGGGTTGGAATCTTAGTTTTTCTTGTTTTCTCTCTTCCTGTTCAGAAGCATTCCCTTATTTCCTGTCCAGGTGACAGGTGGTGACAGGTATAGTAACTGATACCCTACGATTGTAAGTCCCCCACATCATGCTGAATTGATGGAGCAGCTCATGAACAAAGAAGGGAAAATTCCCATTCTAGAGTGAATAGATAGAGTGGGGAAGGATTAGAACCCCTGTTAGGTTCCTGCTGCTATCCAGGGCTCCATTAGAAAGATGTATCCTCGCTTCCTGTCCTTATTAAAAAAAAAACAGCCTTTGGTCCAGTTGTTACAAATGTGGTTGGTGTAAGATTCCAACATGACCCTGAAATACAGCAGTATAATGTGATGACATGCAGGCCATTGCTAGACTCTGGAGCCCAGTTTACATGCCCCGGGTCTTCTACTGAGTGCCCCAGGTCTTCTACCGAGTGCTCCAGGTCTTCTACTGAGTGCACCAGGTCTTCTACTGAGTGCACCAGGTCTTCTACTGAGTTCCCAAGGTCTACTGAGTGCCCCAGGTCTTCTACTGAGTGCCCTGGGCCTTCTACTGAGTGCCACTGGTCCTCTACTGAATGCCCCAGGTCTTCTACTGAGTGCGCCAGGTCTTCTACTGAGTTCCCAAGGTCTACTGAGTGCCCCAGGTCTTCTACTGAGTGCCCTGGGCCTTCTACTGAGTGCCACTGGTCCTCTACTGAATGCCCCAGGTCTTCTCTCGAGTGGCCCAGGTCTTCTACTGAGTGCAGCAGGTCTTCTATTGAGTGCCCCAGGTCTTCTACTGAGTGACCCAGGTCTCAGGTTAGATGGAGATGATAAATGTGATGCCTAATCCAGCTTTGGAACATTTTATAAATGATTTATGTTTTAATTAATCTGTTCATATTACTTTTTTTTTCAAACCAATGATAATACATTTTTTCACTCATGTCACCATTATGTGAGATTCCAGATTTTGCACCAATTTATTTTTGCTCAGTTAAAACGATGATATTAATCTTGGACTCAGATTTGCTCCAAAATGATCATCATAATATCCTACCAGTCTTAGACTCAGATTTTAACTAAACTGCTCATCATGATACCAGTATTAGGATCAAATGTGATCCAAACTGCTCATTGTGGTGTCCTGCCTGCCCCTCAACATTTTAATCTGTGTGTCCAGGGGTTCCCCAGCACTATTAGGACCATAGAAGCACCCTTGATCCAATGAGAGCAAATAAATATGGGTGATGGGGGTATAGACTGGCTATTTATCCTAAAGACCTAAGTCTATTTATAACTAGAGCAAGGGGTGCAAACGTAGGGTCATTTAGCCACCCACACCAGATGTTTCTCAAATTGTGAAGAGCTACCTCTACGGGTATAGGATAGACTTTCCAAGTGTAGGCTAAAGTTCACTTTATCCGTCCAAAGGCATGTGATAGAGTGTTGGGGAGATAGCCAATGTTGTGCAATAGTTTCCTGGCAAGGTATAGAGTACTTGTTACCACTATCTCGAGGTGAGGGTCATCAAAGGGAAGGTTTAAGATTTACAAGAGACCAATCTTTGTCTTAGGAGTTCAGTGAAGTTGAAATGCTTGGTTAATAATGTAAAAAATACCATGCTAGTACCAGACCAGTTTTGGGCATCACTAGAACTTGTGGATAAGATCCCTTTGTCCTGAAGTACATCTAGGACACAGTGAGGAGAGAGAAACACAATGAAGAACAATGTATCCGTAATCTTTAATAAATAAAGCTGCTATAGAGAGAATCTATTTCACGTGTGGCATAATACGGAAGAGCATGCTAATACAAATATGTGAGCCACATCAAAAATGACTTTCAAGCAAACGTTACAATAATAATTCAAAATATGTTTTCACTGAAAATACAAGCACCATGGTTCCCTTTTAACAGCATTCAGAATTTAAAGCCGGACATATGATAAATGTTTCCTGACTACTCCTTGCTGTCATATATTCCTTTCCTCTGAGCCTCTGTGCAAATAATTCAGAGTCAGACTATTTGGAGGCTCCTGTTATAAGCCCAAAGGTGAAAGTCTCATCCATAATGTGCGTAGCTGTGAAGAGCACGGCTGAGGCAGAGCACGCTACCTCCAGATTTCCGATGTCACTGACGGATTACAGCTCAGTCCCAGCATTCCATGGGGAGTGCGTCTGGGCAGCATTCATTAATATTCCCATTCCCTACCAGTGATCCTTCATCTTTATCATGCGCTGTAAAAACAAGCAACATGTTTTATTTAATTTTTTATTATACAGTATATGAATCTAAAGAACCTCATTCAATCGTATGTAAACCCAAGAACAAAGATGTGACATATTACCAGTTCTTAGATGGGGTGGCTGCATTAGTTTGCTTTTTTTTGGCTTTTTCCCCCTTTATTTTCAGGTGGTGATCCTTCCAGTAATACACCTCCTGTCTTAAGTTGGCCACAGACAGCTTGGATTCCCGCTAAATCAGTGGAAATTTGAGGCACGGGTGGCTCTACAAGCAAGACAAAAAATTGTCTGAGCCAAGTGGAAAATGATTGGCCAAACAGTGACTGCATACTATCAGATGCAGTCACTGGTTGCGTATTCAGGCAGTTGAGCCGACAGTGGAGATTTCTCCATCCATGCTTTTCATTGTGGATTGGGGAACCAATTGCTTTCTCTCCTTCAGCACACAGGACTAAATGAGAAAGAGTGAGCCATGCATAATCAGCCTTATGATAGCTACACTCTCTCCTCCACTATGAAGGAGCAGTGTAGCCATCCATGGACAGCAATATTGCCAACCCGTGGAGAGGGTAGTCTTAGATGGACTAGTAGATTAAAGCCGAACTGCCGCTAATGCTTTTAGGCAGTAACAGCAAAAGCTGTTTTTCTTTATGGGATGTTCTAAAGGCCAACTCTGGGCACAAGAAAAAAAATACCTTTGCAGTGGCCCCCCACACCCCCTCCCTTCCTTCCCCACATTGCAAGTTTTAGATGACCACTAAGTCTAGGGGTGGAGACAGTGCTGGATTGTCCACTAAGCAAAGTAAGCATGTTCTTAGGGCACCAAGGGGAAGGGGGCACTATAGAGATTATCTCCAAAGTGCACTTATCCTTGTGGCCCTTTTACCCTGACCTAACCAATCCCACTCCACAAACGTTTATTCACTGAAATCCAACTGGCATTTATTTGCATCCCGTGCCACAAGTCCTTTATCTCCTGGCCATGCAAGGGCATTACATCTCAATAGACTTCTATGGGGCTCATCTACCTTCATCTATCAAGGTCTGGAGCTGAAGGAAGACAAGCGACCAAAGACTTCTTAATTGTTCATTATCACTTATAAAAGAAGTGATTTCCTCATCATTTCTAAATAAAAGGCCTCAGTCGGTTGCTTGACTTTGATACATGCCTAGTTTTTCAAATACACAAAACAAAAAAGTTTTTATTTGATATAGTTGTGAGATCTGGTCAGCTGCTGACTTGGAAAATATCTAAAAAGGTTTTCAAATCTTCGAACTTTTATTTTACTTTTAGGACTTTTTGATTCCTAATATCTTGTCAGCAAAGGAAGGGGGGGACACCAATGTTGGGTTGTGCTTAAGGCATCAGTTGCCCTTAATCCTGGCCTTGGGTAGAGTATACTACGTACCTTATTTCCCATGCAGGCAGGCTCCCTCCATCTGTGTGACCGATCCCCAGAAGTGTCCTCTCTAAGGCACTCCAGCATGTAGTTACACAATTACCTACTCACATACAATGCAGAACTCATAGTCCTGCATTGTACATGATGTTGCCAAGGGGCAGCCCAAAGACCGGAGCATCAGGGAGAAAATAGGAACACCAGAGCCTGCAGGAATGAATAACTTTGTACGTAATACAGCCATTTCCTTTACCCCCTAGCATTAACGAGCATTTAACCCTTGAATTGCATCAGGGTCGGGGAGGACCCACTGCAAGGGTTTTTTTTTTTTCCATCCTAGAGTTGGACTTTAGCTATATGAACATAAGCTTGGCAGTTTTTTTTAACTCAAGGGAGGGGAATATATAAAAGGCAAGGAAATAGAAAGGGACATGACAGTGTTTTTATATTTTGGCCCAATCACTCTATTAATCGTTTTATCGCTCCTCTTTCTGCAGATTCAGAACCCGTCCTGGATTGGAAACAACAGTGGTGGTTCTCCAATCCCAGCCTGCGTGGTACCGTGCGACACCGTCTCCTCCTGCATGTCTCCGCACAACCACCCACACTCTGCCGGGGGAGTCTCAGAGTACCTCAGCGTCCCGGGCCCCGGATCTCACATCAGCCAGACGCACATGAGCGGCCTCTTCAGCAGCGCCACCATGGCATCCGGCATAAATGGGTACGACTTGAACACTGAGCCCGACCGCAAGAGCTCCAGCATCGCGGCACTCAGGATGAAGGCCAAGGAACACAGCGCTGCCATGTCTTGGGCCACATGACAGCGCTGCCTGCAAAATACTGACACTACTCCAGCCTCATGGCGCAGACTGGTGGCATATCATGGGGGTGCCTGCTACTTAGTTTCCCAAGGACTAGAAGCTAACCCTGCAACTTCTGAGATGTCCGCTTCCAAGAAAAAATGCTGGGATTGCTACAAAATGGTTCTTCCAAGATAAAGACCGAGCGCGGTTCATATACACTGATAGTCCGGGTGAAAAAAGTTAACAATCAGGGATCTCTTACCGTCACAACATGGCGGTAATACATATTGAAACCCATCAACATTGTATCCGTTGATAACTTCCTTCAGGCACCAGCTGATTCCTGTTTAAGCCATTTCAGGCATCTCTGAGATCACAGAGATCACACAACCTACCAAACAGCATTGGCAGGCTTGAGATGCTCTCAGGATTGGTATCCAGGCAAGGTTGGAAAGTGCTGTAGGGTTACACATTTTCTAAAACGTTGCAGAACAAAGAGGCCTCAGGCTGGGCAGGAAGTAGCTGCCAAGTTATGCAGACGCTGAAGAAGTTTGTTTTGCTTTCCTGTTTGTAACAGTTGGGAATTGGATTGCTTTGCTGTTTTTGTTGTTGTGTCTCAGCAGTGGGAGGGGTGTAGAACATCTAGGCTGCAGTTCATTTGATCTCAGTTCGCTAATCCCAGTTCTTAAGAAGTGTAAAAAAACTACTTAGCCTACCTATAGACATGGCAGTCGTAATAAATGTATACATTTGAGTCAACAATATGTTTCTTGATCAAAAAATTATGCAGTTTTTCTTTCATAGTACATATAGGCAAAACTTTTTGGTTTTGGATGAAGTAGGGGTGGACTAGAACCTCTATTAGATTTGTTTTGCTGTCTTTATACATACTTCCCTGATGTCTTTGGTCTGGTCATGTGTCCTCAATCTTCCTCTATCTCCTCTTCTTCCTCTGGTGGAGGGCGGGTTCTGAATGCTGCAGACAATGGTGAAATGTAATAACATGGCGCCGTTCTCTGCAGAATCCTCTTTTTGGTCCAAGGCCTAGATGACTCACCCAAAAGCACGTGTCCTTCAGACCCTGGACAGTGCTGGGCCACATGAAATGTATATTCACTTCCTCTATGTGTACTGGTGACCATTGTCACTGAAACAGAACTTAATGGGAAATTTCCTTTTGGCTTGGATCTGGTCATGTGACCCCAATTGTCCTCTTTCTCCTTTTCTTCCTCCAGTGGAGGGCAAGTCCTGAATGCTGCATAGAATGGTGAAATGTAATAACATGGCACCTTTCTCTGCAGCATCCTCTTATACGTCCAGGGCCTAGATGACTTACCCAAGAGTATGTATCCTTCACACCCTGAACCCAGGGGAAATTGGTTGAAGAACGCCAACATGGCACTGGATCACATGAAACATAGATTCATTTCCTCTATGTGTCTGGGTGACCATTATCACTGAGACAGAAATTGTTAGGAATCCCCAAATTTTAGAACAAGAGGTGGGGAAAAGTCTTCTAAGAAGGACACCTGTTCCAGTAACAACTATCTAAGAGGGAAGTTCCCCCCACTTTATAGAGATTTCCTCTTATTTCCTGTTGCATCTCCGATACAGGAAGTGAAGGGCCAACAGGACACAGACAGCAAAAATAAACTGATGGGTTTTAAACCTTCCCTAATCAATCCAAAACGTAAAAAAATGTTTTGACTATCAATACACTTTAGGTATATGATTCTGGTAACAAACATCAGCAGAAATATGCGGAGCTGGGATATTTCAGTATTTTGGGTGGGTTCTGCCAAATAAACATTTTGCAGATCTAGGATGCCTTTGTAAAGTGGACCTTAAGACAAAAAATAGACTTTGGGTTTGGCAATTCCCTAATACTCACCTCACTGCAGCTCCCACTTGTAAGCTGCAACCGAGGTTGGGTTTTGTGTGATACAGAGATGTCGATTGGCTGCCTCCACTGGTACAGCCAATGACTGCTAGTGCCTCACAAAGAACCCGCCCTCAGCTGAGGTTTATAGGCAGAAGAAGCAGTCAGGTAGGGATGGTTGAACTTCAAGGGACCCTGCTATACTTAAAAGATAAGTGTTTGGAGAGCAGTGGATCTAAGGTGACTTTTTGATTTTAGGTCTGCTTGAAGATAATGAATTAAGATTATTGTGCCTTTCCCATATCTGGAAATGTGGTATGATCAATGAGTCAGCCACAAGTATGGCAAGCGATGTCAAATGTCCTATTAATGAAGGAAATGTACTGGAAGCGCTGGGACCCTAGGGCTAGCCTATTGATAGGTTATAATGGTGTGGGTATTTGGTTTATGGGCTGGCAGCTTCTCCACGCCAAAGGATTTTCACTGTTTCCTTTTGTAACTGACATAATCTGAGAGAAAAGCAACAAACCAGAAATGTCAATGTCTAGATATAAATGTATTCCAAAATTAGATAAAAGAAAGCCAAAGATTTTCGGGGGTCATAAAAAGCACCCTTCATCAAAGCTCACGAATGAATGATAATGTAGACTGAGACACAGAGTTAGTCAGCAGTTGGTTGGAGTGGCAAAATAATCACCTGCTTCAACAACTGTATATCTTCATCCAGTCCATTGCACATTGCCATTCAATAATAAGTCCTGATGAAGGGGGCCTCTTCCGACCTGCTGCTATATGATGTGGCACTGCAGAGGTCAATGAATTTTGATTGAAATTAAGCTGGAGTGCGAGTGACTCTTTCTACATTGTATATTTTTTCATCTCATTCTGGAACAAACCTATATCCGGGCCTTTTAACCCATCATTTGGGTGGTATATACTATATATACTATATCCGGGCCTTTACATCTCTGGTGTAGCGGTTCAGTCTCAGATTCTGTCAAATGTCTTATTATTGGCAGTCATAGGTCAAAAAAGGCCAATGAGCTCCGGGACCCTATACAGGAGAATTGCAGGAAGTGGTTCAGCATGCCAGATTTGCATTACATTGTACTGTTTTTTTGTTTTTTTCCGAAAACAATACATTTAAAGCCTCAGAGCAAAACTAACACTTTGTTAATACTGCAATGTGGGGCCACATGTGGTACTTTAAATGGTCCGTCCATCCATAACAGATGTTTCTTCTGTGGGTGGAGGATGGTGGTCTGAACTGCTTTGCAGCACTCTCTACATGTTTAATGGGGAAACCCCTCCCAACAGAGGCCACAGCTTTACTGAGGCCCCATGAAGCTTCTCTCAAGATTCTGGGTGAGACTCCCCCCAATTACAGCAAGTGGGCGGAGCTGGGAACCAAGGCTTAGAGCAGTGGTGGCGAACCTTGGCACTCCAGCTGTGCCATAACTACAAATCCCAACATGCATCTGCCTCTGGGAGTTATGTCTGTGGCTGTCAGAGCCTTACAATGCCTCATGGGACTTGTAGTTCCAAAACAGCTGGAGTGCCAAGGTTCGCCACCACTGGCTTAGAGCTTTCACTGCCAGAGACTGCAAGGCACAGAGGGGGTTAGAAGATGACTCAACAAACCTGCATCCATCTAAAACTGAGTTTCTTCATTTAGGTGATCTGATCCTATACAGAATATCTCTCAGTTGCCTTCAGCTTCAACCAAGGCTCCTAATCTGTAAAGCTTACCACACACTTTACAATCTGAGCGTACAAACTCCTCCAGATTTACCAACAACTATGTAGTAGAAGAGCCTTCCTGATTGGATACAAATTGATTGGATAGATTGGGTCGGCCCTTATATTACATAGTTTTGGTAAATCTAAAGTTGATTGTACAAAAATCGTATGGTGACCATAAGGCTGTAGAGGTGGACAATACTACTTCTACATCCAGAGTTAGATGCTGCCAGTCTAAGGGCAGGTTAGGAGGCTCTGATGAGGCTGGAGATGGTAACAGGTTCTTTTTAAAGAAAACTGTCACTCAATCATTTTTTTAATTCAATGCTAACACCGACCTTTATGTTTCCAGCCACCCATAACTTCTGTAACTGCCCAAAAAAAATAAGATTTCTCTTTCTCGCAAAAGTATTCAGTAGACAGAATTTCCCAGAATCTCCATCTCTGTGCTGTCACAGGTTTCTTAGGGCTTGTTGCATAATAGGGCACTGAGCTTAAAGTAAAATCACAAGCATTCCCTGCACTACCCCGTTGTGTACAGGAAGTTTCATCTTTAAAGGGCCCTCCAGATCCTTTAAAGGGATGCTGGGGATACAATGTTTTCTCATAGTGACCCTGATCATGTGATTGTAGCAAACACAGTCCTTCCCATGTGGTACTTATTTTCAGTGAGCACACCTGCTGCCAAACAATGACAAGTAAGGGCCCGCAATAATGTTTGCCAGCAGCCATGTGCAGTATGTCATTGATGGGGATTGTCTTTCTGGAGTTTTACTTTGAAATAGATTTAATCCCAATGAGGGGGGGGGGGGGAGTTTTG